GCTTAAACCTCTTCCACTTCTTCACAAGCGTAAGACTTATGGTACCTTTGAAAAAATCGTGACCTTACATGTCAATAATAAGGATCATTTCTTCCTCAGCAAGATTCAGACTTAAGAACATAACAGCAGGTTCAGATCACGCAACCAGGATCGCATCACCTCTCTCACACATCTACATTTCTGACAGAAGTCAGAATGGCTCCGTCTGTCCACAAACACGGGACGATGTCGGGTATGGAAATCCCAACAAGACTGCGCGTCCCGACGACAGGCTAGGTCCGTCACTCGCACCTCTTACCGCTACACAGACTCCGTATGTTAACCTGTGTCTACTGCAACTCCCCGCCGCCCGTGCGTGATGACAAGCCGCTAGCTTCCAACGCATGCCAAAAACTGGGGGTTTTGCGGGTTTTCAGGAGCTTTTATGTGCTATTTTCTGATTGCACAGACAACATAGCCGGCCTGGTTGAATTACCCCCGTTTTTGTAGAACTGGGCTAATCAGAAAACAGCCGAAGACCACCAAACCCCCAGTTCTATAAGCCTGCTACGGAGGCTAATCAGAAAACAGCCGAAGACCACCAAACCCCAGTTCTATAAGCCTGCTACGGAGGCTAATCAGAAAACAGCCGAAGACCACCAAACCTGAAGTTCTACAAGCCTGCTACGGAGGCTATCAGCCCGCCATATTTCTCAGCCCCACTGGAACCATATTTCACCTCCCCTCGCCTCCGGGCCAGATGCAGAACTCCTCTCGTGAGGAACGTTAGAACCTTGATCAAAGTCTAAAGCAAAGATCAGACCGGTGTTTATTATTCCTGAAACTCCGACTTTACTCCGAGACGGGTCCAGAAGATCCCAAGATAACATCCGAAGACGTCTGAATTCTTGAAGACATTCTTTAAGACGGTGGAAGTGGGTTTATCCTGGCGCGACGCCCGGTGGGCTCGGGGTGAGGCGGTAAGATTCACCGGGGATGACAGACGGCTCCCTCGGGCAGGGAGGACGGGAGGCCCGGGCAATAACAGAGGGCCTCACGGTGACACATAGCCTGGACGCCAGACTGTTGCCAGGGCCAGTATGCGGGCCAGCTCCTCGGCTCCAGGGCTAGTCTGGGTGCCAGACTGTTGCCAGGGCCAGTATACTACAGGCTAGCTCCTCGGCTCCAGGGCTAGTCTGGGTGCCAGACTGTTGCCAGGGTCAGTATACAGACTAGCTCCTCGGCTCCAGGGCTAGCCTGGGTACCAGACTGTTGCCAGGGCCAGAATACAGGCTAGCTCCTCGGCTTCAGGACTAGCCTGGGTGCCAGACTGTTGCTAGGGTAAGCAGACTGTTGCCAGGGCCAGTATACAGGCTAGCTCCTCAGCTTGAGGGCCAACATGTCCCCAAGGAAATTTTCGTCCCCAACCCGGAGCGTGGGACAGCGACTGTCCCAAACTGTCCAACTGGGGGGCGTGAGACCGTAGGCAGTGCGCGGACGTGCCTGGACGGTAACTCGCTTCTTCGGGGACAAAACGACGCGTTTTTTATTTTGCTGGGAACCTTTCCAGCTCGTAACTAAGCCAAGACAAATTATGGCCCTCTTAGGGGAGAATTGTCCGGATTTGGCTCGATCCGAACAATTCTATCCCAGTGGGAGAAGGGCCTAAGGTTTTGCCTTTTCCGGTGTTAGCAGATTTGCAGGTGTGTGACACCTTTCTGCACCTGTACTCAGAAAAGTGACAACAACCCCAGAACGTCCCCTTCTTTATATGAAAATGTAAGCGGATGAAGCATTTGACTCTTCAGAGAATGTATCCAGTGTCCAGGGTTTATTTTGTATGGCGCATCTTTCACTATAACGTCCAGGTTAGGCATCCAGGTAATGAGATACACAAGAAAACTGCTACTCAAATTAAGCAACTATAGTTTTTGGATAACTTTTAACTACAGATTCCGTTGGTCACTGGCAAAAATAGTGGCTGCTTCTTGAACTGGCAAAAATAGTGGCTGCTTCTTGAAACGTCCGACAGTTTTCAATACCTCTACTTGCTTTAGTTACTGCTTTCCTGGGTTACTTTCACTGTAACTTGAGCTACAGTAAGTTCGTATTGAAATCAAACCCGACACTGCTACTACTAGTACCCCAAAACATGTGAAAGCAACCCTACCTACCACACACACACACACACGCACAGGAACCGGCCCTACAGAAAGCGAGCCAAGAAAGGTTTGTTGTTCTAAAGTAGTTCGAGCGGTCCAACAACAACTTTGCTGCATGCACCTGCGCCATTCCTGTACCTTTAGGAGACAACTTCAACCATGGAGTTTGGAGACTACAGCGTTTCACGTGGGCACAACACTCACAGACTAGGTAGACGGGCTAGAGACAACTTCAACCAAGAAGTTTGGAGAGGGAAAACTACACCGTTGCACGTGGGCACAACCTAACACTTACCTACGTATTTATGTCTTGGTTCGGCTGAGAACAACATACTAATTTGATCATTTAGGACATTAATTTAGTTAATATTTGTAAAAAGATGCAAATAAAACAAAACGGAATACCACTAGAGATTATGTGAACTGTTGACACAGGGAAATGTGCATAACACGTGTATCGACTAAATTTTCTGAACTAATGTGGGTTAGGATCTGCCACGATTCTGGATAGTTTCTGCGTTTCCCTGAACGTATAACTATAGCAAGCACGGTTCAGGATACACGTGGACTATCCAGGTCCGTGCGTGAGCATTGTTCTGGATAAAGCATGCTTGGTTGTGGATAAACTTATCATAAAGCACGTTTGGTTCTGGATAAAGCACGTTTGGTTCTGGATAAAGCACGCTTGGTTCTGGATATAAAAGCACGGTTGGTTCTGGATAAGCACGGTTGGTTCTGGATAAAGCACAGTTGGTTCTGGATAAAGCGGGTTTGGTTCTGGATCGAGCACGGTAGGTTCTGGATAAAGCAGGTTTGGTTCTGGATAAAGCAGGTTTGGTTCTGGATAAAGCAGGTTTGGTTCTGGATAAAGCAGGTTTGGTTCTGGATAAAGCACTGTTGGTTCTGGATAAAGCACCGTTGGTTCTGGATAAAGCACGTTTGGTTCTGGATAAAGCACGCTTGGTTCTGAATAAAGCACGTTTGGTTCTGGATAAAGCACGTTTGGTTCTGGATAAAGCAGGTTTGGTTCTGGATAAAGCAGGTTTGGTTCTGGATAAAGCACGCTTGATTCTGGATAAAGCACTATTGATTCTGTATGGACACAACATCGCTATAGACCGTTTGAAGCACTTGTCAGGACTTACCTAAGAGTTGCCACTCCAAGACCGCCGAGGCTCACCACATATTCCCGCAGACCCAGCGAATCTCACTAACATTAAGCTAAAGGTCTGCCCGCTCTCAGCCAAGCGCCAAAGCCAAAACCTCAGGAAGGATGGGCGTCCACTTCAAGGGCGCCTCCCCAAGACCGACTCCAAGATAAGAACCCGCGACTTTCTACCGCGGCCGACGACGCACTTGTTTCCTCCAATGTGGGGACGGTTCGGGAGATATGGCAGGGGATGGACCACGGGTTGCCTAGCGACGGGGAGGTTCGCTAGAGGCTGTGGAGGGGGTCGTGGGGTAACGGCAGGAATCGGTGGCATTTGAGGTTTCCTGTAGTAGTGCCAGACTGGAGGGTCTGAAAGGGGGGTGACAAGGAAGCTGGCACAAATCTATTTGTAGCCCTAAATGTTAGTAAGGGGTCTTGTTTAAAGTCAGTGTGGTTTAACAAGTCGCAAAATGGAAAAGAAACAGTATCAGTACTGTAGAAAGCAGCTAGGGGGCCCATAATTGAACCTTGAACATGTCCTTTGTTAGCCCAGCATTTGCCCACATACTAGTACCAAATATTCTACTGAATGATCTATCCACAACTCCTCGAGTAATGCAATTCACAAACAAACAAACAAGCAAACAAACAAACAAACAGAACATTTAGTAGATATATACAGCCCTTTATCCTAGTATGTTGCCACTTTTAAGTAGTATTTACAAAGATTACACCAACCCACCTAGAGGGTTTACAATCGCTGAAACATCAGTACTGCAAATAAGGTCTAGTCTAAGCCTGACAACAGGACTTACAGTTAACAAGTTGCTACAAAAAACTAACAAGAACAAGTCTACATCAGCTGTGTCTAAAATCTACATTGCAACAAGAATGTCTCAAGGACTAAAACTGCTACAATCAACATGGAGTAAAAACATAAAAATAAACATGTTCATCTTTGGCTGTGCAAATTTAAAACCTGAAATAAACATTTTGCTTGGCTGATCTGTTAAGTTGTAATCTTTGGTCTATGCCTCTAAAACTAAAAAGAATTGCCTGAAAACTCTTAAAATAGAGTATCCAGTTTTTGTACAAAGTATATTACATGTATACACATACACATACACATACATGTACAGATGGCAAGAAGACTTAATAGAGTTAGATCATGATTTCAAAGAACCTTAAAGGATGGACCTAATTTTTGACTGGAAAAGTTTCTATTTTTCCACTTAAAGTTACTATCAGCAAGTGTTTAACTTCAAAATTGTTATCTTGAAAACACAGTCTGATCACTACTAAGGGTCCATTCCTTCAAGATATTTGGACGGTAGTTTTGCTACCTCTACAAGTTATAGCTACATTCAAGAATGCCAAATGGATCTAACACTAGTAGACTTATTATTGCAACCTAAAATGCTAAAACTTAAAATGTACATGTCAACTCCAGGTGTAGTCAGTTACATCTTTAACACCCGAAACACCTGTATACAATATAAGTTACAAGGAGCTGCAAGGGACACCTGTTCACCTGGTCAGTAGGTAATATTCACCTGTACATGTTATCAAATAGTTAGTTTTGGTACAAAGTATTAACTCCAACCCAGCCCACACCACCTATGTTGACTACTTTAGTTTATCATCAAATATGACCATGAGCTATTTCTATCAGGTATTGTGAATACTCTGTGTATGTTTTTTTTTTTTTTCTCCCTGGACAGTACAGTAACAAGAGTTGTTCTTGTCAGGTATGGAATACACTGATAACAGTTCTAACTGATAAGAATGTTGAAATCTCTTGCCCTCATACCTCCCCCTTTAACCACCTCAACCGAGCCGTTTTAACTGAGTGTTTAATATTAGGTGTACTTCTATTAATGTTCAGCTTCTTCTTCTTCCCTGTTGTGACTTAAGTCCACCAGTTGTTGTTTTTCTCAGGCATGAATACTCTGTGTACTTCTAACTGATGATATTGCTGATCTCTTGTAACATCATGAGTTGTTTTTCTCAGGTGTGTTGTACTCTGTGTAATTCTTGCTGGAGCCGTACACCTGGTGATGACTTGACTCTATCCCCAACCAGTAGTTGTTTCTCTGATGATCTCTTGCCCCCCTCCCCCTCCCCCAATGACCAGTATACATTATGAGCTGTTTTTCTCAGGTGTGTTGTACTCTGTGTACTTCTTGCTGGAGCCATACACCTGGTGGGCTGGGTACTTGAGCTTGTTGAGCTTGATCTTGTCCACGGCAGCAGCAGGCAGGTCCACGTGGCACTTCTCCGCCAGACGGACCAGGTAAATCAGCACGTCGCTCAGCTCCTGGGACAGGTGCTTCTTGTCCTTCTCAGACCAGTCTACAGGGACACAGGTGGGCATGTGAATCTTCTATTTATTGTTTATGGTTTATTGGCCAAACATCACCCGTGCAATCGCAGCCTTATAGTACTGAATTGATGCAGGGTTTACAATCACCTGATACAAATAATAATACACATAATACATTTTTTGTACACATGGTACATATTTGTTCCACGTTTTGTGGAACTGTCGCAAAGGTCTGTACAGCGCCACAAGGTGACCTCAATACGACTTTTCCCCAACGGAAGTTAGGTACCCATTCACACCTGGGTGGAGTGAGGAAAGTCGTGTAAAGTGCCTGGCTGCATCATTATTAAATCAATGTACTTCATATACCTAATCATATCATAAGTAATACAAATTCATACTTCTAATGAGTTTAGACAAATCTCTGATCCTAAAACATGTCCTTTCTTAGCTTTCTATCATCTGTATCTGTATAGCCGGTATAACCGCCTTTCAGCGTCACACCAGCACACAAATCATCACAGAGAAGCAAGAAGAAGCCAAACTCACTGACTGGACTATATAGTACTAGAGTCAGCTTGTATGACATCAAGAACTAACTTCTAACCTAATTTTCAAAAACATCAACAAAAGTCGGATGATGAAAAAAAAACCTACCTGGGAGTCCTTCCTCCACCTCTCCTCTCCACTGACTGAAACCAGAAGAAAATCAGGATAAAACCCCATACAGAGCCTCACAGAATTAAGGACAAACAGTCTCCCCATATGCCCAATACACACCCTTTAGAGCATACAGTGTTGCTTCAAATGAAATTCTATAACTTAGTTAAAAATTCTAAACAAGCAATACAGGGTTTTATCATTTTTTCTGATGCTCAAACATTCAGAAGATGCGGTATAGTAGCATGTATATCGTTACAATACAATGTAGTACCTTTTATGTACGTAACACACAAGTATTCATGTACTTCCACAGTCAAAAACAAAGACTTCCATAACCTCACACTATTGCCAAATGATTTAAACCGTTCCAACTGACGAATTATACATTTGTCCTCATTACTGTGCAAATAAGAGACTCATGTGCATGAATTACCGGTACTAGTATATCAGCTGATCATATTGCCCACCCAATGACAGTCTTATCTTAAAAAAAGGATCTTTTAGCATTTCCTCATAAATTATGCAAATTCTGTTTGATGATGTTCACCTTCACCTAACTTCAAATGCTGCAAGTTCCAGAACAAGCTGCTAGGGGGGCCAAACTCACTTGAATTCTCCCTAAGCACAAGAGGTACCTTATATCTAACATGCAATATTAATGACCCTAGCATGTCCACCATTATAATACTCTATACAGGTATTAACCAGGTACTATCATGTTCCCATTTGGGAGCCCCTACTGAGCACTACTTTGGTTTTTAGTTCACCCCACTGCTGCTGACACTTTATGCCAGTGCGAGGGTGCATGCAAAAATTGTTCACATCAAGTGATGAAGAAACAGAAAGGCAATGACGGCTCGATCCAAACCACGAGTGACAGTGACAACTGTTGCCATAAATCATAGCCATATTTGTACACAAGCAAACTGTTTGTAGTGCGGTAGAGGCCTTACAGTGTTACACTGAGGTAGCTTGTTTTCAATATGTTTTACCTCAGATCGACTCATAATTCTAGAAATGAAGCCCCATAACACTTTTGCTACTCTGTTTTTCACAGATTTTGAAAAGCTCAGCTGTATAATGTAGTTTAATATGAAAGTAGCAGATAAGCATAAATTATGTTAGTGTGGCACAGGTAGCTTGAGATGCTACCTGTAGATACGTATTACTTCGCACTTTGAGTTTGATGACACTCAGCTGTGTTCAAGTAAGCCACATGTGACTGATATATCTTAAGAACGACTGGGCCACACCAATGGCATATCTTGGTTGTAGTACAAGACATATTTTCCTGGTCATAAAAACATAAAATGCTGACTTTGACAAAGGTTCAACAAAGAGCATTCACGAAAACTATCACATCACAAGTGTTTCATAGTCCTATTGTTGAACGCAGCAGATTTATAGAATTTTTGCATTAATTATGCAAATTAGCTCCTGATTTGCATAATTGTTATCTTATTTTATCAAGCATCACATACCACATAAATACATACATACATACATACACACACACAAATGCTATGGAAAACATATGAAGGTACATGTAATTACATTTATGTGCACAGCTCCAATTTTTGGTGCACAAAAGTGCATATTATTTTATGCACACAGTATTTCCTGCCTTGCAGACCTTATGACCCAGAATCAGGACTTCTAACCACTAGGCCACATTAAGCAGCCCATCTAAATAGTTGCCCCAGAAACAGACAGTTTAAAACATGTCCAGTTTACATCTCTACATCCCCCCATGCAGAGTCCAGCTGGAGGTAACAAACCTCCCTACTGACAGGGTAAATAATCAACATGGAGGAGAGACACAAGCTGGGCACCTTCAGCTGCCTGTCACTGGGACTGTAGTCCGGTATGTCTTAATTAAGCCTTGGTCACAACCCTCCTTACGTCCTGCGTGCAAAAACCTGGGCAAACGTAGGGCATCCGTGCGTGGTGAGTACCGCCTCCGTACGGAATCCTACGGATTTGGGAGCACGCAGACACGCCGTAGAACTTTAAGTGCATGTAAAACTTTTCATGCGTGCGGTCTGCGGATTCACCACCCGTACGTGCAACGCGCGTGCCCTGTACAGCCGATGAGAGTACAACGCACGTTTTCAGAAAAACGTAGCAGACGTAGCCTCCAAAAAAACGTACGGACAAAAAGCATGTACGGTGGGTTGTAACCAAGGCTTTACAATGGCTGTGTCAGGGCTCGAAATTAAAGGTGGTCCAATGGCCACTGACCACTAAAATTTAAGCTGGGACAGCTAAAAAGATAATATGGGACATTTTTGGGACAATAGAAAAATAATCATCATCAGAATGTCAGCCTTCTTTTGTTTATCAGGCATGAGTACCAGCTTTTGGATCCAGAAAAGTCCAGAATTTATTATCTACACTGCAATTACAGTGCGCCTGGGAGTTAACATAAGCAAAATTAAGTTGACTTCAAGTTGAAGTCATATAACACACTGGCGTAACACACCAGCTTCGCTGGTACACGGTGCGGCGGCAGCTGGCTACATTACACTGATCGACTTGTTACACCTAACCCTTGATTATCCAGTCGTATCCAGTCGCTTGAGTCTCAGTCTTCTTGTGCAGAATACCAAAAGTAATTCCTATGTTCTTTTGCCCATGATGTGAGATAACTGTTCCCTTCTATATCTATGGATCAAACTTTGTCTCTACCAGACTAACTACGCTGGCTACCGGTATGTATATAGGAGAATATTTGCCAGGGGAGTTTGTCCGCCTTGGGGTTTGACTATGCTGCGGAGGGAAAGAAACTACCTCCCCGTGGCTGGACTCCCTTGGCCCATTTGATTCTCTTTTTTGCCGAATTCTACGATCCGTATTCCCGTAGAAAGACCTGGTGGAGGATAGATCAAACTAGAGTCTGTAAAACCCATTAGAAAGGTTGTATGTAGTTTAGGCTAGGATTATGTAGACCTGCGACCCTCCCTGACCAAGTGAGCATGACCCCGGCACCCATGGGTGGCCTGGAGATTACAGTACAGTAAATGGGCATGACCATCCCCACAACCCTGAACCTGTGTTATCACCATGTGTGTGTCCATTTGGACTCTCCTGGGGCATTTGACACAAGGTGGACTGATGTGTACATGTACTGTAGGTCTTGGGAAGGTAAAACTCAGCCGAGAACAAGGAAGTTTGATCGCTGAAATTTCGTAGGCTTATTTCCTGATGCTTGAATGTCAAGAATATCTTGCACACTATATGCTTCAAATGTGAAAATTCTGTGTCTGTATAGTCAGTATGATGATAACGGCCCTTCAGCATTACACACCAGCTTGAAATAGCTTTTTTCAACATATGTAAAGATATATATTGAAAATCACCTGCACCAGGCAAATTTGACCTGCACCACTCTGATTTTAGGTAGCACTTAAAACTGTTTAGAAACCACTGCAATTAACTTCGACTGATTGGCTGTATAATATGTCCTCACAGTTTCAATGAACACAAATACAAAACAGCAAGCTGCTTTGTGGCGTCTTAATTTCTGTCACAACCTGAATGTGAAGAGAGATGCTTGACACCCCTCACAACAGAAACTTACTTTAGGAACAGATATTCTTCATTAAATGATACAAAACAGCAGTCTTTTGGAGTCTTTCAAATGAAGTTTAACTGTACAGCAGATCTAGTGTACAAACTAATTTACTAGAATGAATGGACCCAATACGGTGCCTTCAAAAGTTTGGAGTCTTGCGGAACTTTAAGTACCGGTAACTTATAAGTGACCATTGCTTATATAGTGTCTTGTTACCCTAAATTAAGCCTTAATATGACTGAGATCGCACATCTGCTATTTTTCATACCATCCTTTAGAAAAAATATCCACAACTTAACTGGGACATAAATATTTACATACTTTTCAGTCGGCAACTTTTCCGTCAGCTCACGCCCAAATTTACTACCGCGAAAACTGGACCAAGGTTGGTCTGTAGTGCTGGATACCGGTTCACTGGACTTGTAGTAAGAATGTTTAGGTTCAAGTCCAAAAAAACCTAAAAGTTAAGAACCGAGTTTGGACTTATTACCATAAAAGACCATTTCACATACCCCTTTTCTTTCCAAACCACATAAAACCTTCCGTAGATTGCAAAAACTTTGCCGCAAAATGAAGAAAACATTACCATCGGACATCGTCAAGTGTTAGCCTCCATGTTATGTGGCCAAAATTTCACCCAGACAACATTGCAAGGTTGGCAACATGCAATTTTGTATATGCCATGGGTTTAGGTCTGGACCGGAACTGAACCTAAACCTCTGGACTTGAATCCGGACCTGAACCTAAATGTGGGTTTAGGTATGCAGCACTATTAGTCTGTGAAATTGATTTGTGAACTACACATGTACATGTGCGGTGGCAAGGTGGTCTTGTGGTGTTCACTCAGAATCTAAAGGTCCTGGGTTCGAATCCCTGGCAGGCCCCAGTGTTGTGTCCTTGGGAAAAGCACTTCACACCTATTTCCTCACTCAACTCAGGTGAAAATGAGTACTACACTATAGCTAGCTTCAGTTAGGTACGTCCTCTTGGATAGAGCATAAAGCCAGAGGTCCTGTGTTTCACTCACTCACTTTAGTTTCAGGATAGCCATACCTCCTGGTCTCCAGCATGTTAACTTAAAGATCCCTTTACACTAGAAAAGAGTAGGGGTCCTTCTCCGTGTGTTTCAAACTTTCAAACAGTTCTACACACGTTAGTTTGTTTTCACATAGCTTGTACTTGTTACAACTACAATCTATAAACTAAAGACGGTCTGGAGTTTAGACTTTCAGCTATATTGTTGATATTCATCTGTGACTTTAATACAGTACAGTGTGTCTTTTTCTGAAGAAAACTCCTCTATCCAGTGAATTGCCTTGGAACAGCCTAAGTTATGGTGTATGCACTGACAACATCTGGAAGACCATGAGGGTGGCAGGGAGCTTGGATATGGGAATTAGATCAGTAAACACCGAAGGTTAAGGTTCCCAAACAAAAGCTACCGGGACGGACAGTTGGCAGTAAGCGATCTACAGGCTAGGCCACACCAATTTAATTTGTTGGTTCTCGGATCCGCCTCTTCATAATTTTCTGATTTGCAAAAAAAAAAAAGATTCTGGTTCTGAATCAACTAAAAAATGCTCATATTTTGCCCCCAACAGTAGAGAAAAGTCCTTTTCTTTCTAGCTGTCATGTAGTTTTTACGTCTATCAATGCCGTGGTTTGATTAAAAGTTCAAAATTCATTGTTTAAATATTAACCCAGCCTTTTGTGTTGACTTCATGGCTCCTATCGTAGCATTTGGGGCTATAATAGGATGCCTAGACCAGTTTTTATTTTTATTTTTTTTTGCCCTGTCGCTTCATATTTTTTCTGAAAAAATCCGAGAACCAACAAATTAAATTGTTGTGGCCCTAGCTGCACCGGTACAGTTGTGGGAACATCTATGTCAATAAACACAGCTGACATGGCTGGGCCTTATTCCTCCATTACAAATAGACTGAAACTCAAACCAGTAACATACATGGTTCTACAGCTAATTCCCACAGTAATTGGTCTCAAAGTCAAACACTCTGCCTTGTTTTCTTAGCACGATTTCAGTTATACAAACAATTCATACTGCAAATAGAGGCATGTGTAATGTATGACTGCAACTTTACCTGGAAGAGTTGCAGTAAGGATTCCAAAAAATTAAAATGTAAACTTTTACATCATGCACTAATTATAGAAATGAACAGTTACAGACCATATGCCAACTTTCATTCATTTATACTTTTGTAATACCGGTATTGCATATTTGAAGGAAATGCATGTATAGCTATGGATTTGTGAGGCCTTGAAACATGTACAATGTAACCTGAATGCTTGTTATATTATGTCTGATATGAACTCTTCCCTCATGACCTCAATAAAAAGTGTCTTGTAGGCCAACTTTAGTAATCCATGATTAAAATAAATGATAGCTCAAACTAAGAAAAATCTGTGTTGATGAAGTTTAGACACCAGGTAATAAGATACGCCAAAAAACAGTTACTCAAGCAACTGGATATGATTTTGGAAACGGCCAGACGTTTCAGCTAGTATCCACTAGCTTTCGTCAGTGACTGAGAGACCAGAGGGGAAATACAGGTTTATAAGCAGAAACTACTGATTGATATGCAATTTATGATAAGAAAAATCTAATGATCATTGTTTACTCACAATAGCTCTGCAACTTCTCCAACTTCTCCAGTCTGTGGGGAACAGGGAAAAATAAACTGTCATCAGCAGTAAGTAAAACAAAATTGGGAGTCTTTTTCTTGCAAAACTATACATACAATAGAAGCCACTTGCAAAAGTGATAAGCGAGGTTTTATTCCCCTTTGCACGAGTCTCTACAATAATCTAGTCTATGTGGTAGATGGTTGTAACCTTCTAGTGCCACTTCTGCTGTTCATTTTCTTTTGTAATCTTTTTTTGTAAATTTAAACAGCAGTGTATTTGATCCAGCTCATCTTCTTGCATATTAAGTTTACTCTGAAAAAGGAATGACATGGCTGCCCCCTTGTAGTCTATCCCAGTACTGCAGTACCCATCATGTAGTAGTATATGAAATACATTATGATTATCGTCATGATTTTTACCTTGCTTTTCGAATAAGTTGTACGTGACTACTTTTACAACAAGTCGGCATATGCTGGAATTTTGCAGCATTTATGAGTTGGCACCTGTGCACCGTACTTAGTTATGGAATTCTGTGGAGCCTGGGTGCTATCCTCCGTAGTTACTGCCGGCTCTCTATTGTCAGTAGCCACAATGGACTACGGAGGATGGCACCCAGGCCATACCCTCTTAGCTTTTGTTTTTATGGAGAACAGGCAAGAAATCAATGTGAGCGTGGATGTTCAGTTCAGTGATGAATCAAATTATATCAATGTGGCCTAAAAAGACAGGACATGGCTGCCCCCTTGCAGTTTATCCCAGTACTGCAGTGCCCACCATCTACATGAATTACATTATTGTCATGTATAGATGATTTGGTGTCACTTTTGGAATGAAGGGAGAAAAAACTATGTAGGCAGATTTAGGAATTGGAACAAATAATGAGTTACAAGAAAGACATATCTGCCCCCTTGCAGTTTGTCCCAGTACTGCAGTGCTGTACCCACCATGGCCAGTAGAAGGTTGCGCGGCGTGTGGAACTGGTCCCAGTTTCTCTCCCGGGAAAACTGGTTCTGCATCGCTCGACTGGATGGGGGAGGGGGGCAGTAAAGTTAACAATCTCCTCCAGGCCTTATGAGTACATATCTATAGTCTTCACCAGACTTCTTTTGCGGGGGGAATAAATCGTAGAAATCGGCCTAACCAAGGGCCAGAGAAGGTAGCCAGCCAGAGAAGCTCCATTTCCCCATTTACCTTCTCTGGCCTTTTTACAATTTTAGGCCAATTTCTACGATTTATTCACCCCGCAAAAGAAGTCTGGTGGAGACTTGTATATTTACATGTGTGTGTAACTTTTGACACTGGGTGAGGATCCAGAATGTATAAGGTCAGAGTGTACATGTACAAATTACTACAATGTACATCTATCATAGTATGTGTCCTGAAACTTTTGGTGAAATTTCAACATTGATAGTAAACAGTATCATGTGCACGGCATCTAAATTTATTATTCTGGATTTTGAATTATAGAAAAGCATTATACACACATCACCTTATTGTTACTCCCTTTATGTAGTTTGCCATAATGGTACCATGTGCAAATTTTTGTTGTGCAAATATTTATAAAGTTCTTCCATCATCATTTTCACAGCACAGGGCTTCTGATGATAAAAAATGTTATGTATCAGTCAAGATTATGCAAAGTTATATGCAAAGTTAGGATAGAAAACAAGATATATACTCTAATATAGTGGGTGTGAATTTGTAATAACCAAAGCAGTTACACAACCTAAAAAGTAACCTAGTACAAGTTACAACACAGACAGTCAAATACAGGGATATCATACAGTACAGTGGGGGAGGGGGGCGGACACACACACACACATCCGACGTACATTTGGTCCAGAGTCGGTTCCTGGCTGAACCTGAACCCTTCCGATGAGTCTGGCTCGTCCTGACCGTCCCTGTCCGCCCTCTGTCTCTTCAGCGGCGGGGAGTTGAGCTGCTGGGCCATCATTTTGCCGAGTGAAACTGAGAGAAAATTTACAGATGTACAGACGACAGATTCAGTTCGCGCCAGAAATTTCCCGCCACTTTACCATCTGACCTTTGACACCAACATGAAAGGAATTTTTCCGTAAAACAAATAACAATTACAATATCAATAAATTATAATCATACAAATTTTATATACTCGACTTTTACGCTTTTGAATTGTATTTCATTTTCGTTCTTAAAAATAATCAGTGTTGGATTCTCCCGTCAGCCCTTTCGTCAGAAATCCATCATGGCGCCCGTCGGGTTGTTGGCCAGTGTGTCAAAACCAGGTGAATATTTCTGCTTATTACGCCTTCCTTTTGTCGTGATGTTCGTTTATGACAGCTTCGCGAGTTTCGTAAGGATGTCTTCTTTCTAGTGATGTATGGTGTTGGGGGCTTGTAGCCTCCGTTACGTTGAGATTAGGCTGAAAAGTGTTGCCCTTGGTTTTCGTAACTCGGAGGTGACGCACTGTACATATCGACAGTTTTGCCAAAGTATAAAAAAATTAATGGGTAGACTGTCTGACAGGGTCTATCCTAAAATTCAAATGATCTAGATCTGCCCCTCCACCAAGTCTACAATGTGTTAATTCAAATGTAGAAAACTTGAGCTGTATTTGTGTTTTTAATTTTATTAGTCGGTTTAAACATACCCCCCCCCCAGTAAAGGTATTGGAACTGATCCAAGTAAATATTTGAAAATAGAATAGATGTTCAGTTATTTTATGTCGCAGGATGAAGTCTTGCCAGCTGAAAACTGTTCTGTTCTGTTCTTTTGATAATGCCCATCTGCCGAGATGTCGGCAATTACTGGCATGTTTTCGTGACAGACCAATATGAAACGAGGGTTCGCCAGGCCATCACGAACTTCTAGACAGTAGAATTTGGACCATCGCACACCGGGGCATGTCCCTATTTTTTTTTTTCGAAAGGTGCGGTGGGTTCTTTAAGTTGTGCGTAGGGTGTGGCTCTCCCCAAACATGGGACCCCCATGTCCTATCCTAGGAACGTCCCTAACCGAAGCTAGGTGCTCATTTGCACCTGAGTGAAGTGAGGAAAGTCGTGTGCCAAGGGCACAAGATCGGTGACAAGGTGGGGTTTGAACCCAGGACCGCTAAGCCATTAACGCTGCACTGTATTATGATGTATTATATGCTTTGTTCTGTAAAAGGGTACAATTTTGTTCTGTAAAATGGTACAAATTTAGAAGCTTTCTCCATTCTAGAAGCATTCTTATTTTCTCAAACAGATTCTTTCACGCGCGAATTTCAACTTTTAAGTTTTTTTATCTGTGAATAGTTAACCTTTCAAAATTACCTAAAACTACTGAAAAATTGACAAAGCAAGGCTATGCTGTCTAGAATGCAACAGAATGGTATTTAATTCTATTTCATGTCTTTTTTTCCAACTTTTAAGCTTAAAACAACAATAGTATTTTAACCCCTCGGGAATCAGGTAATTTCAAAATTTGCATTTTTTCACGTGCAGAGTTTTAACAATTTTTCATGTACGCAAAACCCCATCCCCACAGCAGACTGAATTTTTAACAGTCAGCTGCAGATAGTGGTGTGGTCAGGCAGACTACACGTAGATTTCCTCATGACCCACTTTCTAACAATTGTACCCAACCAAGCGTATCAGCCTACTTACATGACTCAGATGTTGCCGTCGTGTACGCCACATGTAGCAGCAAGGCAAGGATCGACACAACTTTCTTCATGGCATGCTTATCGCTTTCCTTCGACATTCAGCAAAAAAAAGTCTGCTTTTAGTTTACAGGGCAGAATTTGGTAGGAACAGTCGTCAAACTGTTCCTTGGCGTAGTAAATATGAAGCTGTCAGACCCACATTCTTATCTGATTGTTACTGAGTCGTGGTGCACACGGATTGGTGGACAATATGCAAATTGTGAACAGACAACTTCTCATGAAAAGTTGGTTTGTATATATATATATATTTTATGATGAAGCTATAACAAAGGAAAAACACGAGCTTTACAAAATCTGTCCCTCAATAAGCAAGAAATAGTGTCTCAGGGTTTATGAGTATAAAAATTTTTCGTGGAGAATGCGAGACCACCTTCTGTGGTCATGTTTTGGGACTCAATGAGTCAATGCGCTACTTGCGCTGCAGAAAGTTGCCCTTCTGTACCTGACCCTTACACAGTGAAATAATCCTGGTGAGAACCCTGTGTTCCATGCATGTGATATAGTTGTTGCGGTGCGTGCGTAGTCCAGTGGTTAGTGATCCTGCCTCTGGACTAAGAGGTTGGGAGTTCGAATCCAGGCTGTTGTCGCTCACCCGACATGCACGCTACTGTTTAGGGTCGAAGTTCTTAATCTTAGGACGGGACGTTAAGCTGTGGTCCACTGCTCATTGTGCTTGTCGAAAAGAGCTAGGGGAATTTCCTCGGTACAATGAACCTGTAAATACTGTACATAGCATCTGTCTTCTCTGTCGCGACCAGTGGAAGAGTAGCTCTTCAATAAGCTAAACTGGTTTGAGATCAGAAGAGCAAAGTTCTTTTTATCACAAGTCAACCATTTATTTTTCAAGCCGACGTTTCGATGACCTTTTGTCATCTTCATCAGGGCAATTCTGAAAAATAAATGGTTGTGATAAAAAGAACTTTGCTATTCAGTCGTTTACCAACCTGATGACATTATTTACGGATGGTTTGAGATCACTTTTTTAGTGTTTAACTTGTTACTGTGTCTGCTCCCTCCCCAGCGTGGAGACTAGGCTACGTCCTGAGGCCAGCGGCAGTCAGCTGTGTGCGAGGTGTGGCCCAGCTGGAGAATGTGGGGAAAGGAACCTTCAGTGAGTTCTGTTTCCATGGATACTCACTGTGCAACATAAAAGGAAAGCAAACTCAACGTTTGACCAAAACCATGAAACGCCCAAAAAAAAGTTACTCAGGCAACTGGATATGATTTTAGAAACGGTCAGATGTCAGACATCCACTGCCTTTTGTCAGTGACACTGGAGAATTGTTGGGAAATCCTGAATCCTGGAATTACCTAAATGTCTAGCCTTCACCGATCAACCAAATCCATGTTCGACTGACTGGTCTTTCTAAGTTCCAACCTGGATATTTCAGACACATTAACTTTCAACACAAAGTAAAGTAAAGAAATTAGGGTCGGTGTGTTGTGGGATTATCTTTTTTTTCTTTCTTTTTATTTGACTTAGGCAATCTCTAGTGATGAACAACACAGTTAAAAAAAGTAAAACTTGCATGAGGACACTTTTTATTTTCAATGTCAGTGTTGGAAAACTGATTTTACAATGTTTCATCACTCAGGTGTCAGGTCATGGAGCTAGAAAAGGTCGATCAGCTCGAAAAATTTATGTCTCTTGCAGGGGTTCATCTTGGGGTCAGCAGCTTTTTCTAGGTCGGTCGGGAAACTGGAAACACAGCATTTTTTCCCTAGGCGTAACTATAAATATCCGATCCAACACAAAAAGTTCTCTCGCCTAGAGCTTTCGACCAGTCACTCTGCAGCTGGTAGATTGTCTACCAGATACATGTACCTCTGACCCAGTGTTGACGTCACACTTCAAAGAAGCCATGTGACAAGCCTCACTGGGTCAGTCTACTGAGGAAGACCAGAGTGATAGGTCAAAAGCTCTAGGTGAGAGAACTTTTTGTGTTGGACCAAAAGTTTTAACTCTAAACACGTAACTACCAACACAGATGAACTTTGATGATATGATGAATCTCTGAATGCTGACAGTCTGTCTGTGTGTGACTTGCAGAATTAGTGAACCCTCCTGAGAAGGAAGACAAGACCTTGAGGGAGATCACAGACAAGGCAGCGACGACGCTGTTCCTCACCGAACTCATCCGAGGTACAACACATTGACATTCTATCCTTCAGCATATCTAGCATTCTAGGTAGCCGGTTTGCAACAAATTTGTAATGGCTGTGGGTAAGGCAGAATGTTATGATGCATGTCCCTTCTTTCCATCAAATTTTTTATATAATTTCATTATTTTGTTGTTATAAGTTGTACTAATACATAGCTCTATTTAAAGACCAATAATAGAACAATTTTTTTTGGAACGATTTCTGTGAAGTTTGTTGTCTTTTCCATACTAAAATAGCCTAATCTGTACTGGGCCACTCATAGTGGCCACATGAATAGTACAAGAATGTGCTTGAAATTTGTTTGTTTGAACGATTCTTGTTACATTTTATGGCACTATGACCCCTGACCTGTGACCTTTATCCCCAGGGCTCTCCATGGCGATCAGCTACATGTTCCGTGAGCCGGCCACGATTAACTACCCGTTCGAGAAGGGTCCTCTGAGCCCGCGGTTCCGCGGCGAGCACGCCCTGCGCAGGTACCCGTCCGGGGAGGAACGCTGTATCGCCTGTAAGCTGTGTGAGGCCATCTGTCCTGCACAGGTGAGCTGATCAATCAATCAATCAATCAATCAATCTATCAATCAGTCAATCAATCAATCAATCTTTTACAGGCATCAGAAAACTTGAATCTGACAAAATTCACTCGCTGAAACTGTGTGTAACTTGGTTTGGTTGGTTTATCTGGTTGAAATTGCACGCTTGTTTGCATACTGTCAGTAGCACACATTAGAATAGAAACTGACTGTAGTTATTAAGACAGTTACTAGTCTAAAATCACACAAAAGCCTCTGGGAAAGTCTGTACCTCAAAACTTTTGTGTACAGACTTCCCCCACAGACTCTTGAATACCTTGTCAATGTGTCCTCATCTTGAAAGTGATTCTTTCCTACATTTTGATGAAATTTGATATGTTCCCCAGGCCATCACGATTGAAGCAGAGCCTCGGGCTGACGGCAGCCGCCGAACCACCCGGTACGACATCGACATGACCAAGTGCATTTACTGCGGGTTCTGCCAGGAGGCGTGTCCTGTGGACGCTATTGTAGAGGTAAGATATGGCAAGCAGTGTTCTAGCAAGGATTGTTTCAGCAAAGGGCCCCCTATGCTGTGATTTGGACCCCCTATGCTGTGATTTAGGCTTGTCTACCTGGCTGTGTTTGTGTGACACTCTGTATGTGTGTCTATGTGTCTGTCTGTATGTGTGTGCATGTGTGTGTTTGTGTGTGTGTGTGTCTGTGTCTGTGTGTGTGTATGCATGTGTACTCTTTGTACAAGTCGCTGCACTTTTTCTTCTGTCAATAAAGTTCTTCATTGTGTTGCTGTGTGTGTATGCATGTGTGTGCCTATTTGCATGAACGCGTCAAAGTCTGCCACATCTATGGGTGCCTTCTGAGTCACTAACAACTTTCCTCCGTGTTTTCCAGGGTCCGAACTTTGAGTTTTCGACGGAGACACACGAAGAGCTGCTGTACAACAAGGAGAAACTACTGAACAACGGAGACAAGTGGGAGGCAGAGATCGCCGCTAACCTACAGGCTGACTTCCTCTATAGATAAACACACAACTTCACGTCTGAACACACCACATCCTATAAACTCTTATGTAACTCACTGTCATGTCGCAGTGTGTCCAATGCTCACCATAAACATAACATTCTTGCAGCTATGTTTGAAACATAAAGTAGACCTAAGAATCGAAATCCAGAATTCTAGAATTATATTATACGTGTTGTGGCTTTCAGTTGGTCTTCTTTGGGATACGTATGCTCAATTAAGATTGCTTTGTGTACAAATTTGCCTGTCTTACTTTACAAGAAGCATTTCAGTGACTTGAAGTACTGATTAGAAAGAATCAAAGGAATGTACATGAACATGTATATACAGCTGGCCTAGACAGTATCCTATTGGATACAGTATCTAACCAAGAATCTGCTTGGAGATTGGGCCACACTTGGAAATGAGTTAACTTTCTGGATGGGTCTTGTTTATCTAGTCTACAGGAATGAAGTGTATTGCTCATGTACTGGTCATATTCTTAAGAATTAAACCTTGTGTGAGGGAAAGTTGTGGTGTATTGTCTTTTTTATCTGCCTAGTGTAGGTGCCATCCTATGAACAATCGCTGTTTCTGTTTACATCAATCACTGGTAGAGATATGCAAGATACATTTTGTATAGATAGGCAAATCACCAAGCTAGAGTAAGTTAATCCCCATGCAAATTATATGGTGGCAAGGGAGGTATGAAATAAAATACTTCATGATCATTTTCTGTTAACATGTAGCATGTGCCATATCTTATTTGCTATTACAAATTTACCCTCAAAATAGATGCGTACAAACGAGTAAAACATGGACTTAACACCGCAAAACTAGCCCAAAATCACGTATCTGCTCGGAGACTACCCTGGGTACGAGACTGCACGTACACCTGTCGCTTCCCGCCAAAATTTGAAACCTGCTGACCTCTGACCCGCCCTGGTATGCCGCAGCACAGTGCAGCACAGTTCGTCCTGTCGGGCGGGTTGTACATGTACGTGTTTCCCGCAGACTTTCCCGGCTTTCTGCCCACATTGCAAGCTTCCACGGCGGTAAGTACACTGTCTGGACGTGCAGACTCAATCCTAGACGGACGACAAATGCATGGTAACCATGACAACGCAATGTGTGCGAGTCGATCCGTGAAATTTAATATCGCATGCAGGCGGGCCTTCCGATACTAGTATTATTATAGCAGGGGGTGTAGCAGGTGTCTAGAATATTCCGGTTTCTAAGGATTACATGGTAAAACATTTACTTTGCGTTTCAATCGAAGATTATTATCCAGAGCTCTTTTTCTGTAGTCTATTAAAGGTACTCGGGGGCTCCTGTCTACTTTGCTTTAAAAATCTGAAGCTAAATACAGCTGAGGGAGGGTTATTTTTACAGCGTGTTTGGCACCAATATTATGTTTGGGTAGCGAGTGCGCTGTGTAACCGTTACGTTGGTGTTACTTAAGAACGCCCCTTTGTTACCTTAATCAAATTGTATCTCCACAGCTATAGCGATGTGTTTTGTACGATAATTTGACAAGAGAATTTAGCTGTTGTTGCTAACGTTAATCATAGTTTTGAGACATAACGTCACTGTACACATGTAAGCTGGGTGTTTTCAGATTGTCTCTAACATTAGCTGTGAAAATAGAAGACGGAAGTTTGGAAAGGGCCCAACACAAACATGTTTACACGTACAGGGCAGCTATTACTGGGCCCCAGGAATTACTAGTAGTAGTAGATTGGAGAATCTTAAGCTTTTAAGTTTGCAAAGTAACAACTTAAACAAGACATTTAACGTTATACTTATGATATTATAGTAGCAACTTGAGAAACCACCTCTCTTAATTGAGGATGGCTGCTTTATTGGCCATTCTAAAAGTACATCATTTTCTTCCTCCCCAAGTCTGTTCATTTCCCCACATGTCCCCCTTCTCTGGCCAGAATCTGACCCCTCCCCACACCAGCTGACCTCCCCTTAACAAAGGCATTTGATCCGTCAGTTGAGTTAGAGTGGTAGAACCAGGTTTGAAGACATTGTTTACATGTAGATTGTATCTTTGTTATTCTCATGGTGCTGCTAGTTATAAGACAAGCTCTAGGCTTGAGGAGGGAACCACTGACCGTGTATGTATCACACTGTGTCTTTGATTTTTGCAATTAAAAAGTCTGCACCCCATCAAAGATTTAGCTCCTTTACAGTGTATATATATGATAGAGTGTTTTTCCAAGGATCCTTTTTTTTACTGTAGCCCAACCTATTGTAATTCAATCTTGCTTTTACCTACATGTAAGACTACTAACACTGACCATTATGCCTTCTACTGATATGTTTATTCAGTCTTAAATAAGCCCCTATAAAATTGATATTAGGTAATACGATCAGGGTAAGAAAACCATGCCTTAATTGTGTAAACTGGTATCAGGCAACCCTTGAGATAATGCAAATTAGAGCCAAGTTTTATTTGATGTTAAGTGGGTCAAGACTTCAGACAGTTGTTGTCAGCACTGTCTTCTCAGAAGTCCGTCATTGTTGTGTTCAGAACCGTGGCGTTAAATTGTTTTTGCCTGGGGCTGTTGTTTAGTATGTGCACTGTGTCATGTGAGCATCCTGTACTCCTTGTTTATATGATTGCGTGATACTCACTTTTTTCTGCATGCCTGCACCAGAATCTCCATTGGTGTTAGATAAATAAAAAATTTTACATCATATTTCCTTGAGTCCTTGAGTGATGTGTGGCTGATACAAGCTTAAGGCTGGGGTTCACCAGGCCTCCATCCAGGTGATTTGTAATTTAAATCACCAACTTCCAGACAGTTAAGTATTTGGAGTTTTGGACCATCTCACACTGCTGGGGCAATAATATGCCCCTACTGTTTTTTGAAAGGTGTGGTGGGTTCTTTAACGTGCGTGGGGTGTGGCTCACCCCAAAAACGTTCTATTCAAGCTACGTGTCTAACTAAGGCATCAGATGTACCCATTTTATACCAGAGTGAAGTGAGGAAAGTCGAGAAAAGTGCCTTTCCCAAGGGCACTACATTGGAGCATGTTAATATTAGTGGATTTGAGCCCAGGACCTATGGGTTCTTGGCCAAACATCCAACCATTACACCACACGATTCCGAGCACCGATGGATCAGTGTGGCCTTAACTAGACCAGCCAGCTAATGACTGTATGATGAAGAAATCGATAACTGGTGGGCAGACGTAATAAAGGCTGGACTCCTGTTATTGTTTGTGTCAGTACGAATACTGCACCCCAAGGAGCCAATTACTGCACCGTCCAATTAGATTCAAAGCCTCTCGTTGATTATTTATAACCTTAAGTCCTGTTTTAGCCTAGGCAGGCATGTTTTGGGTCAGGTAGCAGCAATTGAGTGTGTTTTATGAGTATTAAGTTGAACCAGGGTTAGGAAAGTATTACTGAGTCAGGCTGCTAGAAGGATGATTGACTAAGAGCAGGGCTCGAAATTTATTTTTGGGAAGAGGTGCACTGGTGCACCCAACCTAAAAAAGTGGGTGCACAAAAATTTATTGTGTGCATCTGAAATGGGAGCTAACTTCAAAATCTTAAACAAGTAGTACAACATAGATTTTATTGTTTGTCTGACACGTAAATGCCAAGAATATCCTGCATACATTTGATATTTACAAAAATACCTACAAAAATGCACCCACAGAAAAATATTGGGTGCACAGCTCCAAGGTTCACATGCACCCAGTATTTTGAGCCCTGAAGAGTGAAAGCTCTTTCTCTATTTCTTCTCACAATTACATACAGGTAAGTGCCAATCAGCTTGATCTTTTTGATAATAATAGTATAAAACTTAAATCAATGTTATGTTTAAAACTAATATTGCACACTACATAATTGAGTAGAGCATGCATAAGCATAGTCAACTATACATAATATATTTGAAATATGTCTGGAGCAAATCATTATGTAGTTCCACGACCTTTTGATAGAGATACCATAATACCTCATGACCTATAAGACAGGTCATATGTATGAGAAATGGTCCATGTAATGCCCATAACCTTTCTTTGTTTCCAAACTGGAGTGCCCTTTGATAGAGAGGAGAAATACAGGGGCAAGACAGATACAGATACCTGATGATAATATTGCATAATTCTCCAAATCATAGTCATGGTATTTATTTCAAAAATGAAAAAAATATATCCGTGAATAATTTCATCAGGTTGGAAGATACTTAGGGTATGGAATTTTCTTCTTACACAACCAGGAAGGTGTCTGATAGACATCGAAACGTAAGCAGGTGAGAACCTTACTGGTTGTGTAAGAAGAAAATTCCATACCCATGAAAAAATATACTTAAGAAATCACTAACGAATGTAAAATTCTTACCACACTTAATTGTATCATGTCAAAGTTTTTAATTGAACTGATGTCTTGCCAGCTCATTTAATTTCAACATTGTCTTATAAGAAGTTGTCACAATGCCACCCCTCACATGATAATGGACTGTTCCAATTAGATGCCCAGGTAATTAGTATTCATCGTTACGAGCATGTATCATTTTGTAGATCCCGTCTGGTAGGATTAAGGTTATCTCTGTGCACTCAAATATCATGTGTCTGGCTTAAACAGCTAATCTCTTACATATGACAATCTCGTGGGGGAGGGCGGAAATAAACTATTTCTGCGGTTTATTTGACTATATTTTTTTAGGCTAAATGTTCTTGTTTGTTCCTTTAGGCTGTCCTTGCAAGCTGAATATATGTAGTCAAACCTGTACTAGTGACCACCTCTACATAAGGACCTGATTGGCCATTGATATACACTGTCAAACTTTCACTAGTGTCCACTTCTGCATAAGGTCACCATATGGCCAATGTGACATTTTTTTGCGGCCTCGTACTACAACTGTAATGCTTACTTAAACTGCCCAGAGTGTACTAGCAGGGCAATAGCAAAAGCTGTACAGTTCCTTCTGTCCTGGCCTGGCTGCTATCTGCATACTGTTCCACGTGTGGCTGAAATTTTCCAGTGCTTTTGCTACTCTTCTCCGCCAGGTAACCTTAGGTCCCCTTTGTTATTTTTTCCTTCTACTAGTGTCCAGAATAGCGCTGTTCTTCATCGATCAGTTACTAAACAGAAAGTAGCGCCGATCATCGCTAATCAAAACCTATCCAGAGACTTGAGAGTCTGTTTTCTTATGTAGTCAGCTGTTCTAAATGTTACATGTATGCCACTTGTGTGTCCTTTGTTGGTGTGTGTCCTGTCAATGTCTATCAGCAGGATAATACCGGTCTCAATAGGCGCCCTCTTATGTATGTAATATCTCGTCCATTCAAGCATTAAGAAGTCTGCCTATTGTACCTACTGTAACCATTTTTTCAATGTCCCTTCAGTACAGGTCGCTAAAGACAGGGTTGACTTGATTTCAAGATACTCTCCTCTTAGGAGATAATGATAAATGCCATTGCCAATACTTGCTCACTTTCTTATCCATTTTCGATGAAAATCCCCCCCAAAGTCCTCCTTACGACGTGCCTCAGCGATTTTATCTGTCCTCGGCAATCTGAGAAACATTTCCTTACTGGCACGCTCAGCCGATAATTGCGTCTTGAGTCGTATCAACTTTCCTGTAGCTGTGAATCAATAACCCTCGGAGGGATTAAAAACGGCACTTCTAACGTCACAGAATTATGGGGTAAAGCCCTCAGGAGGAGTCATGCAGGGAAGTTTGAGTACTTCTTGAGTGAATCTTGACTAGAAGATTTAATCCTGTAATTTCAGATCGGATATTATTGGCATAAAGTACTTCATGATCATCTCCTGTGGAGGCAAGATTTTAGGCTTGTCTGTGTGTGTGTGTGTGTGTGTGTGTGTGTGTGTGTGTGTGTGTGTGTGTGTGTGTGTGTGTGTGTGTGTGTGTGTTTGTGAGTTTGTGTGGATGTGCGCGCATGCATGTGTGTGCGCGAGCACGTGTGTGTGTGTTTGTTCGTGTCGCATGTTCGGCCTAGATTATTTTGTTGTGTGTGTGAGTGTGTGTGTGTGTGTGTGTGTGTGTGTGTGTGTGTGTGTCTGTCTGTC